AATAGACTCTGCAATGCTCTTAACCCTCTGGAACCATAAGCCAAATAAATTCTTCTTTCTTTCTTAAATATGTATTTATTTATTAATATGTATACAGTGTTCTGCCTGCATGTATCCCTGCAGGCCAGAAGAGGGCATCAGATCTCATTACAGATGGTTGTAAGCCATTGTGTGATTGAACTCAGGATCTCTGGAAGAACAGCCAGTGCTCTTAACCCCTGAGCTGTAGTCGAATGTTTTAAGGTGTGTTACTTTTGTTCATGTTGCATTTGTTTAACTCTGTGAAGCTGTGTACTGTGCCTGTGTAAAACACCTGGTGGTCTAATAAAGAGCTGACCAATAGCAAGGCAGAAGAAAGGATAGGCAGGGCTGGCAGGCAGAGAGAATATATAGAGGGAGAAATCTGGAAGGAGAAATCTAGCAGCCAGAGAAGGAGGAGGACCCCAGGGGTCAGCCACTCAGCTATACAACCAGCAAGCCACGGAGTAAGAGTAAGATTTACAGAAGTAAGAAAACAAGAAAAGCCTAGAGGCCACAGGTAGGCGTTACAATTAAGAAAAGCTAGCTAGAAACTAAGCCAAGCTAAGGCCGGGCACTCATAATTAAGAATAAGCCTCCATGTGTGAATTTTATTTGGGAGCTGGGTGGCAGGCCCCCAAAAAAGAACAAAAAACAAACAACACTGAGCCATCTGTCCAGTCCGTAGGTTTTTCTTTCTGTAAGTTGTCTTAATCAAGGTGAATGAGGGATCCTTCAAGGCTTGAACAGGATAGACTCTAGCAGATGCCAAGAAAGTAGCACCAAAACAATTTGGATTCTTTCTATGTCTCCACCTTCCACCCCTCCAGGATTTCAGAACAAACCCCTCCGGGATGTCACCCCTGGGTTGGAAGTTGGGACAGTGCTCAGGCCAGATGCCAGGAAGCACAGAAGATCCCACTCTAGGGATTCTGGTGGTTAGGGTGGAACATCAGGAGACCAGGAGGCCTTCCAGTCATGTTCCCTCAACCTCTCCTTCACCCATCCTGCCATGCAGTGAAATTGGGGTACTGGGTCCACAGGAAGTTACTGGATAGGTTAAAGTGGCAAATGGTTTGTTGTGTCCTTCACTGCAAAGTCACTCAGCTCCCTCATTGCTTCTGCCAGGAAAGACATGAGTTCCCTGTGTGACCATTCTACAGGCTTCGTGTGTGTGTGTGTGTGTGTGTGTGTGTGTGTGTGTGTGTGTGTGTGTGTGTGTCTGTCTGTCTGTCTGTGGCGGTGGGGGTGGAGGGTGTCCTAGTCTGGTTTTCTGTTGTTGAGGTAAGCATGACCAAAAGCAACTTGGGGAGTGTCTTAGTTACTTTTTTTATTGCTGGGATAAGACTCTATGACCAGGGCAACTTATAAAAGAAAGCATTTGATTTGGGGCTCACAGTTCCAGATGGCTAGAGTCCATGACCCTCACAGCAGGGACATGGCGGCAGTCAAGCAGGCATGGCGCTGGAGCAGTGGTTGGAGGCTCATATCACAACCCACAAGCGTGAGGCAGAGAGAGAGAATGAGAAAATGATGTGGGCTTTGACACCTCAAAGACCACCCCATCCCCCAGTAACACACCTCCTCCAACAAGGCCACACCTCCCAGTCCTTCACAAACAGTTGTACCAACTGGAGACCAAGTATTCAGATATATGAACCTGTGGGGGAGGGGGAGCAATCTCATTCAAACCACCACAGGGAGGAAGGGTTTGTTTGGCTCACAGGTTACCTACCGTCCATCATGAATGGAAGCCAAGGCCGGAACAGAAGCAGAGAACATGGAGGAACACTGCTTGCTTCTGTGACTCACTCATCCTGCTTCTTAAATAAACCAGGAACACCTGCCCAGGCTGGGCCCCAGCCACATCAATCACTAATCAAGAAAATGTGGAAAAATGGCTCATCAGTTAAAGCTCCAGCTGCCCTTCCAGAGGACCTGGGTTTGATCACCAGCACACATGCAGCAGATAACAACCATCTGTAGTTCCTGTTCTGGGGAGTCCAAGGCCCTCTTCTGGTCTCCATGGGCATCACGGAGATGTACACACATGTACACATGCAGGCTGACAACCAGACTGACCTGCAGGGCAGCCTAGGAAAGGGCATGGATAGCAGCAGAGGATGCCCCACTGTGAGGGTGGTCTTAAAGTTAGTTTCACCTCGACACAAACTAGGGTCACTTTGGAAGAGGGAAACCCAACTGAAAAAAAAAAAATGCATCCACCAGATTGGCCTGTGGTCAAGCCTGTGATTCATGTTCTGGATTGATGACTGTCCTGGCTGGTTTTATGTCAACTTAACACAAGCTGGAGTCATCTGAAAGGAGGGAACCTCAATTGAGAAATTGCCTCCCTAAGATCCAGCTGTGAGGCATTTTTTTTCTAATCAGAACATTTATTACACTGTAAAGCAATTTTCTGAAAATGTTACTCAGTTGTGAGGCATTTTTTAAATTAGTAATTGATGAGGGAAGAGCCCAGCCCATTGTGGGTGGTGTCATCCTTGGGCTGGTGATCCAGGGTTCTATAAGAAAGCAGACAGAGCAAGCCAGTAAGCAGCATCCCTCCATGGCCTCTGTATCAACTCCTTTCTCGAGATCCCTGCCCTGTTTGAGCTCCTGTCCAGACTTCCTTCAGTGGTGGACAGTGATACGAAGTGTGAGCCTAACATTCCTCCCCATGTTGCTTAGGTCTTGGTGTTTTGTCATAGCAACAGTAACCCTAACACAATGACTGATGTGAAAGGGCCCAACTCACCGTGGGCGTTGCCACCCCTGAGAAGGTGGTCCTGGATGGTGTAAGAAAGTGGGAGGAGCAAGCCATGAGGAGCAAGCCAGTGAACAGCTCTCCTCCAGACAGAAGTTGCTTTTGGTCATGGTGTTTTATCACAGCAGTAGAAACCCCAACTAAGACAGAGCGGCGCTCTGTGTGTGAAAGAGGCTGTGTGGGACCTGGCTATGGCTCTCAACGGGGACAGTGAGGTGCTGTAACTCTTTCACCTAGGTTGGGAAGACTCCCAGGCCTGCAAAAAAAAAAGCTCCAGGACCCCTTCCCTCAGCAGGGGTGGGGTGGGTCATGTCTTGACCATCGGCATTTCCAGTTATCCTGCCCTGGAATAATTCAGTTCTCAGGATTTACTTCTGTCAGGGCTGAAGCTGTAATGGAGACACTGCCCAACATTGCCCTCAGTAGCCTGAGGAGTTCTTTCCCCCTTAGGCTCTTCCATTCCCGTAGAGCCTGACCCTTGACAACCAAGAAACATGTCAGGACAAGACTGGGTGAAACAGTCCTAGGTTTGTTGAGTACTAAGATGGGAGCCATGGTGGAGCACACCTTTAATCCCAGCACTCAGGAGACAGAGACAGGCGGATCCAAGTTCAAGGCCAGCCCAGTCTACAGAGTGAGTTCCAGGACAGCCAGGGATACACAGAGAAACTCTGTCTTTAAAAAAGAAAACAGAAAAGAAAAGAAGGTATTAAGACAGTCATGTAGGCAATTTGGGCTTTATCAGGTTTCTTGACTCTCGAACTAGATCCCAGGGTGGGCTTCCTCCTCCCTTCCCAGTCCTCCTAATTTCCCATCTCTATCCTGCATCCTTTGTACCCAGTTAGTACTCAGCCGACCCCCAATAAGACAAGATCCCTTTATAACAGTGCCTACTGGGAAACCAAAACTGCTTGGGGATGGGGTGGGGTGGAGGTTGTCATCATCCACGTTTCAGAGCTAGTCTGTGAACCACATTTCCCAAACTTTTCTTTCCACACACCCTCCCAGTGAGCGAGACATCCTGTGAGGTTGAAGTAAACAGGCGCGCTGTACTTCCCAGGCAGCTGCCTTTTGGAAAAGGCAGGCTTCTTTTGTTTCCCTCCCTGGTGGCTAAATTCCCTACTGGGCAGGTCAGCTCTGTCAGAGTCTGGGCTGGAGGACAAGTTGGGATCCTGAACCGCTATGGGGTCTCTGCCATCCTGCAGGAGAAGCCCAAACCCTTTATAACTTGCAGAAGTGTCCTCACCCCTTTCTACTGAGTACTGACACCACCCCCTACTCCAGGCAGCGACCACTACAACGCCCGCCCCCCGCACCACCCCCGCACCACCACCACCCCCCAGTAACCAAGGTGTTTCAGACCTACTGTGGCTACACTGGAACCCGCTACAATGGTTTAGGAGGCAAGGAGCAGGAGAACAGGTCAGGCACAGGGTCCCATAGGCACAGGGAGAAGACCCAGCAACTCTTGAGGTGCTTGCCTCTGGGAACCCGATAATAAGCACCCTTGGAAAGGCTCCTGTGGGGTGCATGTTGGACTCCAGCCACCAACAAGGGAGACAACGCCCACCCTCAGGAGATTCATAAGCCCAGTGCCCGTAAGTGAAGTGGAAACGTGGGCACTAGGGCTACTAGGACCCAAGAAGTGAGTCCTACATACCCTGGCAGAGGAGGGCGCGATTGGAACTCATCCCAACCGGGAAAGATGGGGAAGGTCCACGAATCTGCAGGACGCCGGCAGGGGGCGCCAGAGCAATGAGTCTGAACCTTGTTTAGGGTCAGTCCTGGCTCCAGGGCTTAGACTAAACTGCAACGCGGCTATGGGACCAGCAGGGGACACCAGGCTCCCGCCACAACACCCAGCAAATCCTGGACAGGGTAAGCCCAGGGATCCACAGACCGCATGTGGAGAGCACTGATGGAACCCGTGACCCATCTTGTCTGGGTCAGAGTTTTCTTCTTCCTGAAAGGAAAGGACCCTGGCCTGGTGGTCCTCCACTTCTGAACTGGACTGGGTGCCATAGGAATTTGGAGCCAGGGTTGGATGAAGTTCAGGTTCTCCCTGCCTAGAACAGGCAAATACCATCCAGGACTTTGGCCAGCAAATGTCCACAGCAGTAGGCCAGATACCTGCCAAATTGAGAATAACCACCCTGCCCACCTCAGAGAGAGGAAGATCAAGGTTGGTAAGCTGAATACGACCAGTCAAAGCACAGTGGTTACCATGTGCACTTTATTGAACCCACTATGGACATGTGTGTGAGGGTTACATCTGTATATAAAGAGGAGTAAAGAGCCAGGAGGAAGGTAGTTATGGATGGTGGGGTAAATGTCAGGACCAAAGGCCAGAGTCCTCTGTTAAGTGTAAAGACGACTAGCAGAGAAAAAAATGCAGAGGACAGCCACGATGGTAATAACAACCGTGAGGATGCTGAGGACCAGGGCGCTGATGTTGAGGCACTTGGCAGTGGAGGCGTAGGCCTGGGCTCCAGTCACGTCGCCCACCATCTTCCTGTCCCTAGACTGGAGCAGAGCAGATGGTCAGTGGCCATGGAGCTGCTGGGCAAATGTCCTGGCAGTTTCCTTATCATACCCCCTGTGGACCGCATCTCTCCCACTTCAGTCAGGAACATTTTACGTAGGCTGACAATGCAGGAGGCCTAGGACTTGCTGCTTACCCACCATCAAGTGTTGTTCCCCATGATTCGCCGGGGCATTTTCCACACAGGCTAGCACCCCAGTGTGCAAGGTGAAGGGGCACACTAGGTATTTCTCTAGACTGGGTTGGGACAGTCTGATGCCATGTCCTCAGACAGCCTCACCCTATATCTGCCCTAGAATCTTTAAGCACACACACACACACACACACACACACACACACACACACACACACACCATGCATACACACCACAGAAGAATGCACACAAACATTTTAAACAAAGGCCACCTTCCCCCTCACACCTAGGTGCCATCTGAGTAGATGGAGCTTCAGGCTCCCACACACCTGCTTACACTACCACCCCCACATCCTCCACACTCACCTTCACAGAGTAGGCATAGGCAATGAAACCCAGGCAGCAGAAGTTCAAGAAGAGTGTGTTGAAGAGGGACCAGACCACATGGTCAGGCACAGCAACCTCTCTGGGCATGTTGATCACGGTGGTTCTGACAGAAGTCGAACCATGGGGTGCTCCCAGCTCGGCCACCTCATATTCTTCCTTGATTCTTTCGTAGTTTGGGGGATGTCCCCCATTGGCGGCAGTCATGAAGGCTTGAGAAGTGTGGTTCATGGTGCGGAGCAAAACCAGCAGTGAGGGATAGAGGATGAAGTGCCCTGTGGGTCCGCCCTTTCTCCAGCAGTTTCGGTTTCTCAGAAGTTTCCTTTTCCTGAATTTTAGCTTAATGAGAATTGGCTGGGTCCTGGGGGGCGTGGCCCTAAAAGTCCTGTGGATCAAATTACTCCAGGGCTGGATGTCAGGAAGGACTGTGAATCAGGGGAACTTCCTGTCCAGGAACCCAAGTCAGGACTTGTCCCAGGCCCCAAGCTCCACTGTTGATGAGTGAGGGGTCCTGGAGTCTACCAAACTCAGGCTAACAGCTGCAGAACCTCGCTGTCCCTGACAAAGGTCCCAGCCAGGCCCCACAGGACTCGCTCTTCTCCCAGTAATAACGGGTGCCCCCAGGGCCCACTACACTCACTCTGGAGGCCAGTTCTACTGGTTTCCTTGCAGATAGAGGTTGGGGTGAACTGTACCTGTCTGTGTCTTCTTTTTGCAGACAGTGCCCTAAGTGTGGTCAGTAACTGGACTTTGGTGTTAGGACTGAATGATCCAGGTCACAGGGCTCTGACCTCATGGTCCAGGGCTGGCATATTAGTGCTCCCCAACTCCCTTTTCCTCCTGTCCTAACAAAATTTATTAGAGCTAGTGGAATGGTCACTGAGGACCTTCATCGTGCCAGAACAGCCTTCTCAAGTATGTGGTGGGGTGAGGGCTATGGTCCCGAAAGCCATTCCTGATCATGCTGAAGGATTCAGTTTGGTGCGCTTCCCTGATGATAGGAAGGCCTGGCCTGGGCTCTCTGGTTAGGAGTTGTATCCACTTTCTATCTTGGTGGCACTGTAAGGACCAGGCTACCAGACCTGCTTCAAGGTGCTTTGCAGCAGCCACCCACCCTTCCTAGAGCTCTGAGCCTTGGGGGTTGTGGCTCCCCCAGTCTCCAGGTCCCAGTCATTCCATTCTTTGTCTTCCTTGAGTTCCTCACAGGGCTGGCAGCACCTCCCACAGCCACCCCTCTGCAGTCCTGTTTGGGGCGGG